CACTAAACCCAGCAGAAGAAAGAGGAGCCCTACAACCACAGTTTAAGGATGCTGACTGTCGATTATTCATTTTCTGTTAAAAATTGGAGCAAGCGTCTGTGCGCTACTGCAATGATTGTCTGAAAACAATTATTGTGGTAAGTCTGTGACAGCAGTCATTAGAACCATTAGGATAGTCATACATAATCTTGTTATTAATCTTTCTTGAGCCAATTACGCACACATCAAACTTTATTAAAGCCAGTGGAATATAGGACATCAACCCCCTGCCTCCCAGAATTGATCACCAGGTTAAGAGCTAGCCAAGGAAAAAAAAACCCCACAAAACCAAAAACTAAGAAAAAGAAAACCACACACACATTAAAAAAAAAAACCAACCACCCCGTTCCCCAAAACAAAAAGCAAACAAAAAAGAAAGCTTTTTGTTACTTACGTGTGTATCTTAGTATAAGGGTCCAAAGACAGCTTCACACAGACATTGTCTATGAGGCTTTAGTTTTTCAAGTGTTTTAACATTTCCAGAACACATAAAAAAGGAACATTTTAAAGCATGAGGCTTAAAGAGTTTACGATTATTGAGTAGTATGGCATCAATTAGAGTAAATTTTGAAATAGAAATTTATTTTTTTAATGCTGAGCACTTTCAACTTGGAAAAACATTTCTCAAAAACCTCTTTTCAAATCACGCTGACTTTATTTCTTACTCACTTGGACACAGTATATGCTAAAATAAATCATTAATGCTCAAAGACATGGCCTTCCTTTTTCAGAGATCATGCCCTGTTGTTGAGCAAGAGATTCAGGTTGCAAAAGGCAGAAACGAATCCAGAGCTGAGTTTTAAGCACAACTCTCAAAGGATTTCTCACTGTAACAGCACAAGGCTGCCAGAGGCATGTATGGACATGCCCTAAGGTCTCTGGCTATCCTCTTCAACAAGGCAGAGCAGCAAAGTGAATAGTAGTTCTGCTATACTGTGTTTACTATATGTAAAAACATTCCTTTTCAGTGCATAAATTGAGGCTTATAGTTTTAAACAACTGCTTTAGGGCTAAACTGAATACTTAACTCATCTGACAGGAAGAAGAAAAGGAACTAGGGCTCTGTGCTGCTGAATTTGGACACTTGCTGCTCAGTGGATCCTGAAGCTCGTAATAAGCTTTTCAAACCTGTTGTTTTGATCAGGTAACCTCCTATCACAACTGCCTTAAAAGCTTCCAAAAAAATCGGTGAAGTTTTAAAGGGCAAATGTCTTTTGGGAGAAAGATACTACGGGAGTTAAACATCCACTGCAGACAGAGCAAAGTTTTTGTTATATGCAGTGTGGAACCTCACAATGTACACACGAAAAAGAGCAGAAATTACTTTTGTGCAAACATAATCTTTCATAAAATGAGCTAGTAAAAAACTTGCCAGATTATAACTATAGGTAAAAAAAAAGCACTCCTCAACTATCTTCTTTTTAATTTTAAATCACTAAAACTTTTGTTGGTGCAGCTTTATGAGGATGTCATTTTTATCTTATTTTCTGATGACCCTAGAATACAATAAACTGTACCTACAAGTGGAAAAGCTGTTCTATTGACAACTAGAGTCAGAACTTCACTCTCAAGAAAGCCAGACTATACATACTCCTCTACATAAACACAGGAAAAAGTATTTCAGAACAAGGAATAGCTTCATCTGCAAGTAGCTCTATATATTTTTATATATGCTAACTGAAGTAAGTATGAGCAAATGGCAATCAAACATCCCCCTGGAACAGCTTTCATAGCCAATATATATCTCAACATTTCCTAAATAATTATTTACTTTTGGAAAGAATAAATTTTAGAAGTTATTCAGTTTAACAACAAATTGGAATGATCTTTTTATATGCGTCTGACGTCAAGAATTCAATATATTCATCAGGCATTCAAGACTGATGATACAATGAGGTTTTCAGTGGCACAGTAGCTGAAAGACAGGTTCTATAGTTGGAGGCTCTGTAAGAACTACGGTGGCATAGGTGAAAGAGAAGAGGATCAGATTCCCCTGGATAGGATAAGTATAAAACAGATGTCAGTTTTTGAGATTTGCTGTTGTATGGTTTCATCTGAACAATGAGAAGGGCAACTAGGTGCTAAACTACACATATTTAGGCATTCAAGAATACAGTAGATTAACTACTTCTCCCCTGCTATCAGCAGAGGCAGAGTATCTCTCACTTTTCCATCCCTTCTGCAGAGAAGAATTTAAAAGCTCTGCCCCTACTGCTGCAGAATTAAGTCCTCACTAGATACAAGTCAAGACTACACCTGGAAGTGGAAGGAAAAGGAAATCCTTGCTTTCCCCCTCCATAAAAAAGCTGGTTTTTCACCTGGGAATGCTGAAACACAAACAGTTAAGATATCTTTCAGGATGCAGTAACTTACACTAGATAGGTATATACACTGAGGAAAAATTTCCAGGAATAGCTACTATTTCTAATAGCTACTGGCCTACTGACTAAACATAAATAATAATAAGGCTAGTAAAGCTAGTGTAGTTTCTCCATCAAAACATCACTTTCTGGTTTTGTGAGTGACTCACAAACTTGGAAGAAAGAATATAATCTGACTGATTTTTCTCTTTTCTGTAACATACCCCACCATGAAAAGATGAAGTACTATAAAATATCAGCAGACAGTCCTGTTGCAGCCACTCTAGTTCACAAGCTTCCTTTTACATGTTTTAACTACTACTACCAAGCTCCAAGTTACCCTTTAAGGTTATCTCTCCTTTACTTTAGAAAGGTTCTCATAGAAAAACCTTTTAATCAACCAACTGAGAATCTCGAAAACCAGTAATTGAAGTCATTTGTGCCATGATCCTGCCTCACCAACACTTACTGAAAATAATCTACAAAAGAGCAAAAAACTTCCCTGAAAACCAACTATTCTCCATTTGAATCAAACAAAACAGAACTAGAGTAAAACATACAATTCTGAAATTGGCAGCTGAGGTGCACAGGGCAAGAAATCTGCAGTGAATTTGTTGCAGCCACTACAAATAGGAAGTAGCCAGCAGAAGGAAAACTTTTGCTGTCAAATGGAAAATAAGGAAAAATCATCTTTTTAATGAACTTTCATTTGTCCCTTTTCCTCTCAGATATACATGCAGATATATATGTGGTTGGAAGCAACAAGAGTGGAGCTTCAAAAATCATCAAACAATAGTGCTACTTTTAATAATTTATTAAAGGTCCTAAAACAAAGATCAAAAGGGAATGTATCTGAGCATTTATATTCAATCCCACATTGCCTGATGACTAATTTGTAAAGAGTGCACAAATCTTAACAACTGAAGCCAAAATCATTTGAGGATACTTTGATACAATGCCACAAAGGATATGAGCAGGAAGGCAGCAGGAGTTACAAATGGCCATCTCCATTAAAAGTGCTAATAAAAGAATAATGGAATTTCCTTGTACTATGAATAAAAAGTGTTTGGCACAGGAGAATTTAGACACAGAGAGGAATATCAAAGCTTCTGGTTCATCAGTTGCTTCTCTTTATTAGATCTTAATTGACTTACTATTACATTTACTTTAAAATGCTTCAGCTCAAAAAAGCAATGATCCCATTCAAAATCCTGTCACACTGATTTCCTTTATTCTTCATGTTTCTCAGTTTTCACAGGCCCTTAATGTCTGCTTTACCAATCCTTGAAATAGTGGAAGTCCATCTATAAAAAAAACACTTTGAAGTGATGGATTTAACTCGAAATGCTAGATCATTATTAAAATTATATAATATACCTTCTGTTTGACAATGTTTTTTTCAAACTGCACATTTTCAAGTTGCTGGTAGCTATGGAACTCTCCTGAAAACAACCTACCTGATAAATGTAATCCATTAATATTTACACAATGTATTTCTTTCTCATAGACATATGTGTAGTCACATGCATACATGCATATGATCATAAGCAGAAACAGGCACACATACATACACACTTCTACCAACTTCTTCCCCCATATAAAACTTAGCTAATTTTTTCCACTGTAAAGCTATTTGTTATATAACCAAGAAGGCATAAAGTTCAAAACTTTCCTTTGAAATGTCTCAACAAGAAAATATTTCAAATCTTTCCTTTCTGAAATGGATACTTGCAAAACCGAAGCAGCAAAGACAGTAAAACATACTGCTAACAAATTGTTAAGGGATTTAGTGCACTTGCTTAAAAACTCATGCCCAAAAATGCATCCAAGATAGGAGGAACTCCCCTAAAATATTTACAAACCTACTTAACTCTTCTTCAATCTACTGCTTAATTTTGCATAATGTCTACAAAACACCCATGATACCCATGATACAGCTATAGCACAGAAATGCTGTGATCTCTGTCTCGTGGTTCTCCAAAAACCTTCTTCTAACAGTTTTAAATTCATACTGCAATGTCTTTAAGGAAGTGACCTTCTTTCTTGCCCTACAGTATGGGAGATAATAAACAAGGGTTTTTTTTTACCAGAGTTCCCAGACTTTACAATTAAGGATCAAGTTATAATGATGATGTGCATTTCTTCCTCTTCCCCACAGACAACCATCAGGTTGTTACCAAAGCAGACTCTTCCAGTGATGCTTCCAGAATCAATAGATAATTCACCAGTATCACGTATCTCAGGTCCATTTGACACAAGATGATAAGCAACATACTCCAGGGTAACACAGCTTGTAAATAGGAAAATAGATGAATCTGATACCACATATGGTCACTTTGCAGGATTTAGTGTGAGTCTGTAAATTATACTTCTATGAGGTTCATGTGAGTCACTGGTTACACAAATCAGAGAGTGCAACTTCTAAAGCTTAACTTGAAGAAACAAATATTTATATGATAGCATAACTTAAGTAACATGAATACCCTACCACTTTCAATTTTATAATTTCCTCTCAGTTTTGAATTAAACACGATACATAGTTAACATGAATGTTTGGAATTTGTCTTAACAAAAAAATGTAGGTAGTATATTTTTTCTTACCTTATGATCATATGGATTGTATGAATGAAACAGCTGGGACAGATCCTTTGTTCTCTGTTTTTTCTGAAAAGTAATATTAATAAATAAACCATATTAGAAAAGTTAAAGGAAAAAGAAAGAGACTACTGATTTAAAAAGCTGTATGCAGGTACAAACACATTCTCTCCCCACTTTGTTAATGGAACTGTAGGTACGAAGAGCAGTGTATGCAGATTAGGGCTATTAAATATCACAGGAAATAATTAACATATATATTAACAATGTTAAGAACATATCCTTAATAAGTAATAAACACTAATCTATGGAACATCAGTGGAATGTGTAAACAATTAAGATTTGTTTTAATTTCTGCACAGTGAATTATAAATAATGTTTTAGAATACAGATAACAAAACTTGACAATTAGGCTCCAATCTTGCAAAGACTTGTCTACTATTCTAGCATGTACATGCAAACTTGCTTAATAGCATATTAGGTTTAAAGGAAGTAAGTGTAAAGAAAAATAATTCATTATTTTTCGATGTCTTTTGATGCTAATACTCTGAGTGCCTCGATTGTGGAAAAGAAATACATGGTATGCCATTTAATGCCAAGGCAAAGGAAAAAAAAAATCCTTCTTTTAAGAGCAAAGTTCAAAGACAAAACGTGCTTAATCCAGCTTCTACTGAAATTAATGAAAGTGCTTTCAGTGATTTCAGCAGATGTTAAATACATTCAGCTGCATCCTATGAAGGGGGACAGGGAGAGGAGAAAACCAACATTCATCAATGCAGGGATGAGTCACAAATAAATTCAAAGCTTTATTATGTCCAAAATCTTCACTGACTTACTGCTCGGGAAGGCAAAGCATTGTGTGTTTGAAAATGTGTAACAGGGAGGCAACTACAAGAATTCCTTGCTTGTAGTCTGTACTATTGTCTTATTTTAGCCATTATTTCTCAGAAAGAAGTTTTCCAAATAAACTGGTAGTCTCTGTTCATGTTTCCAGCATGCTGGAAACTAAATAGACAGTAGCATGACTGCAGTATTTAACTTCTGGAATCCAGAGGACAATTCAGTAATCTTTCATTCTGCAAAAACAACTGTGTATTTCCTTTCTTTACAAAGTTTTAATTTCAGCAAAATGTTGTTATGCAGCAACACAGCCAAAAAAGAATTTTAATTACTATACAAATTTGTGACAGCTAGATATTTCTGAGTCATTAAAGGTATGAGATTAATATTACTACTTCAGTGAGGTCCCTACCTATGTTTAAGGTATGACCACTAAAGAGTCAAGAAAATTATTTTTTTACTCACTGTCCTTCTTCAAACAAGAACAGTATACTTAGTTTTCAGTATGAGGTTACTTCTGCCATAGATAATTCTATTCAATTACCATAAGTAATACCTAACAGGAATTGTTTCTCTGAGTTTACTAAGAGGCTTTAAAACTAAAAGCGATATTAAAAAGACATTTCTGTTAGTATAGACTTCCTCAGAGATCAAACATGCCTTTGCCAAAGAGAAGATCTCCCTTAGTAGAGAAACCTTCACCCTCTAATCCCCATTAATACCTCTTTTATTTCTAATGGGAAAAGATCCACTCAAATGAAAGCATCAGGTAACACAACTCAAATTCCATCACCATCCTACAATGAATTCTTTCCTGGTAGTACAGTTATATACAGTGAGAATGCTTAAAATACTACAACAAGGATTTGGAGAAATGTAATGATAAATTGAAAAGCGATATCAAAATGATTATAAAGGTTTCTTAAAAACCTAACTTAATGTAGAATCATGCAAGAAGCAGACAAAAGCATTTTAGTTTGGCTTTTAGTTTGTCTTCCTGCTCTTTCACTAATTCCCCATTCCTTCATTCTGTACCAATAATGCCATCAAAATCATGGTAAAAAACACTCACCCCCCCTTCTGAACTTAGGCAAATGTACTGTCCCATCATACTGTTCCATGTACAGCAGCAGTATTGCTTTCAAATATCCTCACAGATCTGTATAGGATATATTTAAATTCATTATCTTCAAAAGTCTTTTCAAAGTCACCATACAAATTAGCACACAGTATTTCTTCCTTTTAGGAGTCTCATACCAGCATCAGATTCACGGCTTATTTCCATACTTCTCTCAGGCTTGCCATATAATGATACAGTCTATATTCGGTGACCACAGGATATTTCCTTAAAACAAGTTACTCTTGGCAGTGGGTTACTTGCAATACTCCTATTCACTTTGGCTGTATATAGTTTTGGAGCAAGAACATTTGACATGCAAGCCAGAGAAACACTACTCCTGCACAAACTTTTCCAGTATTGGTTTGCCAAAAAGAACAGTCATGTATCACTTGAGATAAATATCATACGACTAACAAGACCAGTACAGCCTTAGTCTGAGAACTGCACACAATTTTCTACTTGTGCATCGAAGCAAGTAGTGGTGTATGAAGCAGAGATTTTTTTACAGCACTAGTAGCAGGCCATCAGGGGAAGTGCAAAGCAGTACCTTATTAATACAGAAGGAAGGACATTCCCTGGGTAAAGGGTGCTGCCTGCATCACTGCTGTGTACAACTGTTCACATGCTGGAGTCTGTGGGAGCCGAGCAAGATCCTCTCAAATTTACAGCAAGCAAGCCTCTGGACAGAAGGTTCCCTAACAGACAGGTGTGTGCGCATGCACACGTTTTACAGGGGCAGAGGTTTTGATGACTCAATCATGCACTGATTTCAATTTTAAAACCATAGTCCTTAGTTTGAAGCACTTAAACAAGTTTGGGGAGATGAGACAAAAGTTAAGTTTAGAAATGAAATAACTATACCAAATACTAAACATGGTGGGCTCACATATGTGTATTGCACTTCTCTGGTGAACATCTTTCATACTCAAGTGATAACCACCTGTCTTTCAGATAATATTAATGTAGCCTAAAACTTGTTTGCTTTCCTCTCACATATGGTATCATAGGTCTACGATGTTTGTTGTGAAGGACAATTACAGTATCACTGAGATATTTTATCACAGATTACTTAGAAGCAGCTTAAATGGAATATTCACTGTTTTTCATACAGGAATAAAAGAGACAAAATTATTCCCCAATATGAAGGTAACATTGTTTTACTTTAGACTTGACTTTCAGTTTTATTAAGTCTGTTATCACCTTTGAGGTTCTTAGTAATATTCTGACAGATCTGAAGATTCTACCAGTTTCACTGAAAGTGTCAGCCTCACTACATCATCAGAAAAGTTCTCCTGCTTTGGTTTTTCTGTTTCTATCATGTAGAATTCCTCCAGTATATGGAGCTACTTTTGGTAACAGTGACCCATATCTGTTTCCATTCAAATATTCTTTTCTTCATGATCACAGTGAATTAGTAGCATGTGTCAAGGCAACCAATGAATGTGTTTATTTCCATTCTCTTCTCTCACCTACCATCTTCTCCATTTCTCTTTTATATACTGCTGGTTGGAATTACAAAACAATTTTCTTTTGCCACAGGAACCTTATTTAATTTAGAACTTGAAAAGCATCTCACACACTTGAGCATGCTAGCAACCAATAGCAACATTGTTCTTCCTCCAAACAAGTCTGGAAAACCACATTACCTGCTTGTGTGGTACCTAATGGATTACATAATTTAGAATTAAAACCACATTAAATTTTGTGAGCCAAGGTAGAGTTTAACTACAACTCTGACAGACTTCGGGAGAAGAATGAAGCAGCTTTGCAAATGTTTGCATTTTCTTCCCAGTATTACCAAAAGCACAGAGGCTCCAGCGTAACAGATGCTTGAAAAGAGCAAACACCATGAGATCGGAGCTTTGTTTTCTGAAACAGCATATCTAACATATCTTGTGTTCTTTAACTTAAGTTACATGCATTTTCTGAGCTTAATGAAGCTCTGACTGATTTTCCCCTGCGCTACACCTATGTTCTCAAAACTACAAAGGCTTTGGGTAGTTCCAAACTCCAAACTTTTATAAAACGTAAGTCCTACTTAGGAATTGAGAGCACTCTTCTCTAGAGACAGCAACTAGCCTAACTATAATTTCCAAAGAGCTACTTGGCAGAGCAGCAGAGAGAGATGCAGCAGCTACTCCAAGCAAGGTACATTTAAAACCCTTGCTGGGAGATTCAATTCGTGAAGCTTTAAGTCTGTGTACCTATAACCACAATACAGATACGAGCCAAGCCACTGAAACTGCCATGCTATCAAAGTTTACAGATTGCTTTTTGTTCTGCAAAACAATTTTTAAAAAAGTGATCAGAAACCAGTGAACTGTTCTCTTTGACCTTGAGTTATTCAGTGCATCACCCCCTTAGAAATGATCCTGAAAAAAATGCTGTGCCCCAGCCAGATTTCTTGATAACATCGTAACTGGTGTTCATTATGCTCTTGCATCTCTGCCCTGTAAGGTCTGAAAGGGCAGAAGTGAAATACAGGCTTGACAAGTTTTCTACTTCCTACAGCTAACTCAATTCTACTCGTATTATTCCTATCTTTCTTATCACATCTATAATGAAGCATACAAAATCATTTGAGGATTAGCTAGTCTTTGACCTAACCTACCTGAATTACTATTAAAATAGACTCACTGTTCTACTTTAACTATTGATACATGTGCATTTCTTTAGCTAGCTTGGTTTAAGAAATTACTTTCTAATCATTTTTTATCCATACATAGAGAATGTAATTTAGTATGCAGTGTGTTATACTCAGCAGTTTACCTCAATGTCCCAGGATGATGGACATTTTTTTCCAACTCCCATTAACAATAGACCTATACATTCATAATTCATATTTTGCATACTTTTTAGTGTTTTGTATACTCAGTGATTATTTCTAAAAAAAAAAAAAAAACCAGAACGAAGTTTTATGGCACATGTAATGTATTTTTTGTCTAAAAGAGGAAAATATGTAAAACTTTACACACCTTTACTAATCATATTTATGTAGAAAACATTTGCAAACATTGAAGTCATCCTGTTTTCAGGATTATGGCAACACAAACAGTCACAGTTTAGTCTATTTTACATTTTAAGTAGAGATTCGTACTTATGGAAAAAT